CAAGGTAACCTACCAACGACTTGTCAATCAAATGTTCAAAAATAAGCTCGGCCGAATGATAGATGTATACATTGACGACATGCTCGTCAAATCTCTTCTCGCCAAAGATCATTTTGGACATCTCCGAACCTGCTTCGACATACTCGACCAATACGACATGAAGTTAAATCCAACTAAGTGTACGTTCGGAGTTACGTCCGGTGAATTTCTAGGATACAATATGACTTGAAGGGGGGTCGAAGCTAACCCGAAACAGATAACTGCGATCCTCGAACTTCCATCGCCGACCACGAAGCGCAAGGTCCAAAAACTTACAAGATGAATTGCAGCACTGAATAAATTCATCTCTCGATCAACAGACAAATGCTTGCCCTTCTACCAGCTTCTTGGTGGCAACAAACATCTTGAGTGGAACGACGACTGCCAAAACGCGTCCAAACAACTGAAGGAATATTTGTCCACTCCGCCAATTTTAGCTAAACCTAAGAACGGTGAGACCTTATATTTATACATCGCAAAATATGTCTTGGCCATCAACAGCGTCTTCGTCAGAGAAGTTCGTGCGAGCAGAAGCCAGTTTTCTACACCAACAAAGCACTCAACGATGCAGAGTCACGATATCCGACCTTAGAAAATTTGGCATTGGCTGTTGTCACCTTGCCACAAAAACTCCGACCCTACTTTCAGTCACACTCCATCGCAGTGCTCACTAACCAACCGCTCCGCGCTATCTTGCACAGTCCTAGTAGTCAAGGCGTCTTGCGAAGTGTGCTATTGAACTAATCGAGTATGACATTGAGTATAAGAACTGGACTACCGCGAAATTACAAGTGTTAGTCGAGTTCTTAATTGAACTTTCATCCGAACTCGTCAAAACTGATTTACATGAAGCTCAAAAATGGGTACTTGATAACACCCGATTTTGACATATTTTCACCATTGATTGCAAATGCTTTTTCAATGATTTTACTTAGTTTTAGGAACTTTTATTATGATTTCTATGTATTTGTAGTTTCAAAGCTCTTTTCAGGAAACTTAGAGAAAATGATGGCAAAATGAAAGAAATCAACTTTTTCAGCTCAGAGTCAGACCGTCGGAAATTTGGTAACAAATAGAGGCATTCCCACCGTCCGATCCAGCTCAAATTTGGAGACAATCAAGAGGAGACAACCAGCTTTCCATAGCACTTTACATCACAAAGATGCAACGGTGCAATCAAAAGATACATGGAGAACAATTTGACCGAGTTCACCAGTCCCTGAAGACTCTCACCCGCGGGAAACACATGTTTTACCTGCCCTGGAAGACTCTCACCCCCGGCGGACCATAGGACGAGCCACAAGGCCCAACATCAAAGCCCACTTCGCCATTTCTTTTCAGAGAAGCCCTAAATGAGACCTGGAAGACCTTAGGACCTATAAATACATTGTTTAGCAGTCCTAAACGGGTGTGTGCTCATGTAATGAGATTTTGAGCCACCAAAAACTGTTTTTCTAGGGTTAGGCGATGGAGATGGGGATTCTTCCCCATATCCATTGTTCTTTCTCCTTTCTATTTCATTAACTTTTCTGTTTCATTCTTTTGCATTCTTTTATGTCTTTCATCATTCATTGAATCATGTAGATTAGTCCCAGAGAGTCAAGTTGTTTGAAGATATCGACAAGCATATATATCGATTAGGATTTCTATTGTTCTAGACCATATTCTGGATCTCATCTCTTCTAAGTTGTTCATAAAGCATGAGAGTAGATTCATGACTTATTCTCTGAGCCTAGGATCGATCAGAGCCACGAGAGTGCTCTGTCAGATCATCAATACCTAGCTTCAAAAGAACATAGTCGCTATAGGAGTCAAAGGCTACCTATAGGGAAGATGTGAGCAGATGAATTCAATGTCTAATGCATGATCTTAAGTTTAGCATGAGAGCGAGAGTTAATTACTATATATTAGTGATTAGTTGATTAAGGTGACGAGAGTTGGTTAATCATACATATGTCTATTCTAGTTCCATGCAGATCTCAGAAACATATGAAGATAAATCGCCCGGAAGCTAATTGGAAATGCCATTATACATCGATTAGAGTAAACTGGAGAAGTCTAAATCGCCACCTATGAGTTTAAGAGTCTTTAGTTTGAGTCGATATGCTTTAGATGGTCTTTTAACAATTCATCCTACATTGCATTTCTTGTGAATATTAGATTATGTTTAGTTTAGGATTCTTAACCAAAAAAACTCAAAACTTTTGTTGGTTTATGACTTTGCTTACTTCCCAGTTTGTTGTTTCTCGCAGATTAGACATCTTCCCTGTGGATCGACACCCTAAGTCCTACAACATACATCTGTGCACTTGCAAACACTAGGGTTTTATAAATTTAAAATTTTTGGAGGACCAACGGACTTGTTAAGAAAATAACTCTAGGCCCGCAAGCCCATCAGTACTTCACATTGATAGATTGTCATCCTACAAGGGATCTAGAGTTGAAATTCGGCTCAAAACACCGACCGGCGAACTGTTAGAACAATCATTTCGGTTAAAGTTTCCCGCGTCCAATAACAAAGCTGAATACAAAGCACTTATCTCCGGCCTCCGACTTGCTAAGGAAATCGGCACACAACACATTCATGCCTATTGCGACTCTGAGCTCGTTGCTAGTCAGTTCAGCGACGAGTATGACACCAAAAACGATCGAATGGAGGCCTACCTACAACTAGCCAAGCAACTCGCAGCAGAGTTTGACACATTCAGTCTTACGAAGATCCCTCGAGCAGATAACTCGCCGGCCGATGCCTTAGCAACTCTCGAATCAAATTCGGATCAACATCTTAAAAAAATGATTCCGGTTGAAAGTATCTCACGACCCAACATCAAAACTATCAAGGATTGCAACATCGCTACCCGACAAAAGGATTATGAAGCGGAACCGAACCTTGAACCACCATTACGACACCAAAAGCGCACTTAGGGTTAAACAAGTCTGCCACCCAATTTTAATGGTCAGATGAGACCGACCTCATTCAAGAATATGACGACGTAGCTAAACTTCCCTCCGAAGGTCGTCACGATCCATTATATGTGGACGAAAACGACGAAGATGTACCCCCTAATTGGACGCAAGAAATTATAGCATACTTAACGGACGAAGCTAGACGAATGGGAAGCACGCCGACTAAAAATGCACATGGCTCGGTATATGATATGATGATCAAGGACGGCTTATTCCGATGAAGTGCGACAAGAATTCTTCTTAACTGCGCATCCAGCAAAGAGATTAAGGAAATTATGAAGAAAGTTCACGAAGGATCAGGCGGGAATCACTTTGGAGGCCGGTCCCTCGCCCTCAAGATAAAGAAAGCAAGTAACTTCTGGCCTACGATGGTTTTAGATTGCGAAACATTTGTCCAATGATCAACCTTCCTACCAAACTATTAACGACCTCCACTGCCCCTTACAAGTTTATGCGATGGGCCATGGACATCATAGGCTCTTTTTGCCGATCCACAACTCAAAAGCAGTTTTTCCTCGTCATGACAGACTATTTTACCAGTTTGGTCAAAGCCGAAGCCTATCCGGAGATACATGGAAACGACGTCAAGAAGTTTGTTTGGAAAAACATTATCTACCGAGACAGGATTCCTTATAAGATCGTCACAAACAACGGATCTAATTCACCTCAACAGATCTCAAGGTACCCTCACGGCAATGGTCACGCAGAAGCAACAAACAAAATGATCATTGACAGACTCAAGAAACAGCTCGGTAAAAACTAAGGAACTTGGTCTGACAAACTCGATGGAGTAATGTGGTCACATCGAACAACACCTCGAAGATCTACTAGGCAATCTATCTTTTCCTTAGCATATGGTGTTGAGGCTCTCTGTCTAGCTGAAATCTCAATTCCGACCATCAGGTGGACGATGCTCACTCAGAATCCAAAAAACCAACGACCAAATGATGTACGATAAACTTGAAGAACTAGAAAAGCAACGCGACCAAGCATTACTTCAAATTCAGAATTACCAACACATGGCGGCTCGATACTACAACAAGAAATTTTGAAGTCTGTTTTTCGAAGACGGAGATCTCGTTCTCTGAAGAGTTTTTCAGAATACGGAGGAAAGAAATGCCGGTAAGCTCGGTGCTAACTGGGAATGTCCATATTAGATTATGAAGGTCGTAAAGCCAGGTGTTTATCAACTCATGAAGATAAATGGAACTCCAATTCCGCAATCATGGAATTCGATGAATCTGAAGTGGTACTACTATTAGGTTGGTCATCCAATCAAAAAAAAAAAAAGAACACTCTACGAGCTCAAAACGTTGTAACATGAACTACGAATGGTTTGATCATATCTTGGGTACGTAGGCAGCTCGTCAAGAGTTCACCTGTGATATCAATAAAAGTTTATTTTTCTAAGTATTTTTAAGTTGAACTCCTATGTTCGCAGTCATAACCGAACTCATCGGTATTAACATCGATGTCCTGGCCACACATTCGATAGCATTTCTCAACAATGCAACCTAAAAAACCGAGATCTGGCTTGCAAGCGTTCACATGGTGCCGTGATGAATGAATCCACATCTTTAAAAGCCAGGGCCAGTCCCACGTTAATTATTCCTAGGTCATCTTAGAACAATAAGCCGGACTCTTCCCGCACACACCGATTCGACCTAGGAAACCTTGACTCTTCATCGTGTGCTTACAAGGGAACATTTCTTACGAACTCCGTCCTTCCAACACGAGAGACCTCCCTAGGGTTTCAAGCTGAGTTTATTTAACTCGCAAAAATTAAGCCGAACTCCTCATATTCGTACTGTAAGCCGAGTTCTAAACACTCGCTAAATATAAACAAAGTTCTCAACACCACCTAGTTCGAAATCATTAAATCGAACTCGCAAGCTCGAATTCCCATGTACAACGCAATATCAAAATTAACGAAAAGCACAAGATTTTAGAAATAATCCGACCTCATAAACTAGCATGTCAAAAGCACACCCGGGCAAGCAAGTCAAGGTTTAAAAGCCTCCTCAGGCAATGTGTACAACATCAAAAAAATAGTCTAACAAAAGAGATAGAAAAACTGAAACAAGGTCAGCTCGAACCTCGGCTCCCCAAGTCAGAAGCTCGCCCTATCCGATATCGTCTTAGAGTTGGACCCAAACATGTCTAGACCTGCGGGAACCTCAAAACCAACAACCTGATCAATATCCGGGTAGAGGTCATCGCGAAAAGGCGTAACACGGGTGTCGTCGGGCTCGAGTTCAGTCACAGGAAGCGCCTTGAACCTAGCCTCGCTGTCCGCCTTGCGCCTCTCGAGCTCATCAATGACAGATGGAGAAACAGCATCGCCTTTCAGGGCGTAACGCTCGCAGAAACTGAGTATCCCGGTGAGTTGGTTAATCTCGAGAAACGGTATCCTCTGTGCATCAACCTCCGAACGATACTTGTTCGCCTTCTCAACCCGAACCTGACACTTCTCGGTTGTTGCTTTCCACCCTCGAAGCGCCCTATTCCGAGCCCCCCTTAACCATGTTTGCTCCTTCTTCAACTCCTTTGACAGAAAATCTCGGTCGGCATTAAGTTCGACATTTTTTCCTTTGAGATCAGCAATCTCAGCCTGCAGTTCGGCGATTGTCTTTGAAGCTTCCGCGCTCTTCTCCGCCTCAGCATCAACGATCCCCTGCAGGTCAGCAACATGCTCCTTGTATTTGGACGCCTCTCGCTTCACTTTGCACAAGGCATGATCATACTCGGCAATAAGCTCGTCCGTCTGAGCAGTAAGCTGAAACCAACAACAATATATTAATGAAAAGAAGAATAAAAAAAAAATCAAGTATTAAAAAAAGAGGAGAATTAAACTTACGTCGGCGGACAACTGAGAAACTTTTTTGTATTTGTCCGAGAAAAAGAAGGCGTTCGGCGGGGGAAATTTCCGTACCCTCTTCATAGCAGGACCAGAATGTAGGAGATCTCCGGTTTCGTTGCTCTGAGATGGCCTCTTCTTTGAGACCTCGAGAGTAGGACGGTCAACTGGACCGCTTTTGATCTCTCCCACATTGGCCCCAGCAGCTATAGTGTTGTCACTCTTCTTGGACAAAGTTAGCTTTCTTCGATTTCTTCGTTCTCTTCGGATATTGTGTTTGCGCGGGCGCTGAGAGCATCGTTCCAACGTTCTCAGTAACTGGGTCTACGCGGGAGCCGAAAGCATCGGTTGGATCCAGAGATCCTGTCGGAATGAGGGATTCAATGGGACCATCGATGGGAGTTTCGGTCGGCTCCATTGCGAAAAGGTCAGGAATGTCATCGAGATTCATTTTCCTGCGAGTTCTGCAGGGTTTGCGGGGTTTGGGGGGCTTGCAAGATTTTGGCCTACGGACTGCTTTTTGGGCTGCACATCCTCCAAAAGTTAGTTCGGACATAGTAAACTGACCTAATAAATGAAAAAGAAAAGAAGACTCACCACAACGTTTCTCCCGACGGGCTAACAAATCCCTGTAAGCAGAGGGCCAACGTTTCCTTCCCGCCGCGCTAAAACGTGCGACAACTGTTGGCGTAATACCAGAATGGCTAATACAGCTCAAAGGATGGTAACCTGCAAAAGATACAAAGGTTAGCGAACAATATAAAGGTACAAAACAGGACAATAAAATAACTAAATACCAATAGGAGTCATCCAGTTAGTTTGGAAACGCATGAGAGGGTTCTCAAAGGATGAAGAGTCAACTCGAAGATAGAAGTATTTCGATTTCCAACCACTATACTTGCTACACTTAGGTCCAGTAACAAGGTCAAAGCCCGCCTTCGAACAGACGGAGAAGTACCATGGTTTCTTGTTCTTCTTCATTTGAGACAAGTCTTCAAAAGCCGAAATTGTGACTTCAAAGCAAATATCTGACCCAAGAGTCTGGATTCCGACGAAGTTAGTAACAGAAGCTGGCATCAACTGAGACAAGGCAGCTCCTCGACGATTACAATACTCAATCAAACGACTTGGAATCGGAAAGCGAAGTCCGCAAGTTCGGAAAAAGTCCTCGTAGACGCATATGTAACCCTCAGGAGCATCCCATGGTCGCTGATTTTGGTTTCTTAACTTTGATTCCCGAATGAGGCCCAGCCTGCCTTAACGCTAATGTGATGGTCTTACTATCAGAACAGGAGGCTTCGACCGACGCCGGAGTAACAATTTTGCGACGAATCGCAGGAATGCCAAGGACAACCTCGTGATGAGCTCCGTCAAGACCAACCCCATCCAGCTGAACTTCTCCATTGCTCTGTGTTTCGCCAGACCGACCTACTTCGACATTATGCGCTTCCTCGAGGTCATCAGTAACCTGACCCGATCCAATCTCGTTATTAAGCTGAGATGGACCAACCTCCTCAGATGTCGAAGAGGAGCTAGACGAGGACGACGAACCAGATGGATCCGGGGCAGGAGAAGCCACTCGTTTTCCTTTAGGATCATTCTGGCTCGGCGAAGAATCGGACGAGCTGGAAGAGCTAGTGCGATCTGACAAACTGGAAGAACTGGTGGGATGAGATAAGCTTGGAGACATATCGAAGAATGAAGCAAATCGACAGGTGGAATCCCTCCAAATTCAACTCGAGCCTAAAGCGAAAAGAGGAGGAAGTGTCAAGAATTAAAAAGATCTCGGCAGACGGAGATTCGGCATAAATAGAAATGAGGTCATCAAGGAAATGGAGACCTTAAATTGGTGACGGAAAATAAATTTTGAAAACGTCACTTAGCAAAATGGAAGGCAAATGTAAATAATTTCGAACAAGCAAGTACATGGAAAAGAAGATCGGCATTTTTATTTCAAAAAAGGAGTTCAGAATAAAGTTAGTCGCAGATGGTAAGGGAGTTTGACATTGATAAATCGAAAAAGCCTTGGAGAAATTATCAAGCAAATAACATCGGTCAAGGAAGAAGAAAGTCCCGAAGGTCTGCTTCAAACGACAAGCAAGTCAGCAAAAACAGGTCCTGGTGATTTAATTAAGCTTGGGAGGTCGAATATGAACTTAGTTGAATAAAGAAATGGATCAAAAAATTGAATACTTCAATGAAGGTATTGTCCAAAACTCAAGCCTGGATTTTGACGAAGCTCGATGTGGATTTAAAAAGAGTTCGTCGAAACCAAAAGCAGCTCAAAAATTTGACATCGGCGCAAGCTATAGAATTTCTACTAATTAAACAAACCAGATCAGAAATAAAAGTTCCGCACTAATAAAGGGACTTTGAAATTGGAGAATGAAACACTTACCACCAGGTCGGCGGATGGTACTTCAATAGCAAGAAGATCGGCGTCTCAGGAGGTCTCGAAATCAAAACAAGTAGACGGCTTGTAATTGTCGAACTTGAAGAAGATGACGTCAACGATGGCAAAAGAGATAAGGCTCTGGTGGGTCTCCAGTCCGATTCAGTTCCACCAAATAATTAGAGATGGTTCGAACGAAGAAAAAAATAAGGGCATCTCGGCGTAATTAAAGGTCGACAAAATTAAAGAAGTCGACATTCTACAGAAATAATAATATAGTAAAGGCTAAAGAGGAAGGCTCTGCTGGGCATAATTAAAGAGGATTAAAGGACGTCGGTGAGTTTTGAGGAGACCTAAATGGGCCTTGGCGAGAACAAATGCGACCCAGCCCAAGAAATAAAAAAACTAAACGTCAGAAAAAAAATTAGAGAGAGGAGGAAACTTATACCTTATGTGGTAGAGAAGAAGTGAAGAAATGAAAGGAACAAGGGATACTTATAGAAAATTGAGGTCCGTCAGAAAGTCTGTATTAATTAGAATCCATACAAGAAAACAATTTAAAGATGGAAATAACGCCAAGTGGCACAAGATCAGAACGATAAGAGGTTTTTCCCATTAAATTATATTCAAGGAAATAGTATATTGGATGGGCCGGTCCAGAAAAATATCGGTTTACAAAGATTGGTATCGAGGTTAAATTGGGTGGATCGACATAAGACTTTCTAGAATGACCATTAAAGTTCAGTTTCACAAAGTTGGCTGATCTTTCCAAATTTTACAGAGGATTTCCGGAAATATCGGTGAGTTTTGAGGAGACCTAAATGGGCCTTAAAAAAAAAGAAAATTCTTCTCAAACCGCCTTAGGATTCGCATAAATAGAGGAGAATTTCATTCATTCGAGGTATCCGCAAAAAAACCGAGAGCAAAGAGAGATTTCAAAAGAATTGACATTTTATTTCGAGTTCTCCCTTTGTTAACGAGATCGTCAAAACCACGACGATCTTATTTCAAGTTGTATTTTTTCGAGCTATCTTCTTAATAAAACGACACTATTGATTTGAATATTACTGTTTTACCTCTTTGTGTGGTATATATATCAACAGATGTACTTATTACAATTATAACCCTGCAAAGTCTGAATATATTAGGAAAATATGCTATGTAGACTTCATCAGTAAGTATATTATATTATTAAATTTTATATTTTAATTTTAAAATTATAGAAAAATAATTTAATTATATATTATGTTGCTCCTTTATGTAGCCAAGTGTGTAAAAAAAAAAGAGAGTTACATTCAATTAATGATTCAAGGTTTTGTTTTTGATGAATCGTTATCCACTGAAAAAGGTAATCTTAACATATACTAAGAAAACATCTTTGTTATTAACATTATATATAAACAAAGCATTAAGCCATAAGATACTTCTGAACAATAGACAAGAGAGAGAGTTACATTCAATGATTCAAGGTTATCTCCGTATTAATTATGCTGCTTTTAAACAAGTCCTGCCCCTATATTGAGATTTATATGTTTTTGATGAATCGTTACCCACTGAAAAAGGTACAATCTTAACCTCTTAACATATACTAAGAAAACATCTTTGTTTTTAACATCATATATAAACAAAGCTGAACGATAGACAAGAGAAAGCGACTTTAGCCTAGTATAGTACATGTACAACATATAAAAATCATACATTTTTCGAAATAAAAATAGAAGAGAATGCTTTAAACTTATTTTTTTAACTCCCTTTAGACTTTACTCTTATTAAAATTCATTCGTTTATTAAAACATGGATTGGTTATAAAAAGAAACCACAAGGGTCAGGAAGTAGAGGACTCGAAAATGGAGATTTCTATCACGACTGTGAATGGAAAAAACATAAACCTAGAGGTTGACGATAGCTCCAACACAATCGACCTAAAGATCCATGGACCAACCCGTCAGTTGGTTCTTCGTCTCGGTACAGAACAGGATCTGGATTCGGATCCAAAGGCATCCATGCAGATTTATGTATCAACCTTTGAGCTGGGAACATTCAACTTTATGGTTGAGAGGACGGAGACCATTGAAGACGTCATGGCCAAGATCCGTCATGGTGAATGGGCCCCAATATTAGTGGATCCGAAGGCATTTATGCTGATCTTTCAAGGTAAGGAGCTTGAAAACAGACGCACCCTAGCTGACTACAGAATCAAGAAGGATTCGACACTTGTCCTGTTACCACGTCGTTGAGGTTGCTATAATGTTTCTTTTTGTTTTCCAAAGTTTTCTATGCATCTTTCCTAATAAACTTGGTGGTGGGTTTCCAATGCCAAGTAGATGTTTCATTCGTTTTGGAAATAATAATCAAGAAAATGCATTGAACTGTTTATATCCTTTTTGTTAATATTACTTTAATTTGAATCTGGTTATATGTTGTTTGCAGTATAAGAAAGTAATTTCTATATGGGTTGGAGTATTAGAGCACTGAGCATCTCCATCCATGATTCTCATATTTTATTTTATTGAAACTTTAAATTAAGTAATCAACAAAAAAATATTTATAAAGGTTTGGCTAAATCCAAAAACTTTCAAGAAAGAATTGGACCAATTCTAAAATGTTAACAAATGGATTTGGATTTTGTATAGTAATAGACGGCTTTTCTCATGTTTGTTATTTGATGGGAAGAATCATCTGGCCATTACTAGACAAACGCCAGTTAAAATGACCGTCCAAATCATCTGTCTAAAGGTATGAAACTAAAACGCTGCGTTTTATGCGATATCAGCAACATACAAGTTTTTGATAATTTGGTGTCACGTACGTGCCCTGATTGGCGACAACGAACGGTGTCATTTATTGTGCAAGAAGATTCAGTGCACCTTTGTAGTCCACCAGTACATGTTTTGACCAATGCATGTTTACCAGTAAAATTTCATTTTTTTGGAAATAAAGATGGAGTAAATGCTTTGAATTGAGGTCATTATACACAATTCCCACTGAAATTACATTAGTTACTTAGAGACTTTTCTGGTATTTTTGCAATGAATACGATTATACTAATATATATACTTACATTTCCAAAATTGTAACTATATAAACCACATGTGAATCCCTCTAAGTCAATACAGTAAAGACAAAAGTGAGAGAAGAGTTGAATCCTTTTTTTTTCTTTTCTAGATCAAAATGAACAGAAACGAGACAAAGGAGAACAAAGATGAGAAGTCGAAATTTTATGATACTGCAACCACAGTCATAGGCATCGCTGGAGCCGTTGGTGCAGTCGCGGGTCTACTCTCATGGATTGGCTCAGGATCGAAAGACAAGATGATGAAAGCTCCTGGGAAAGATGGTTATATACCCATGAAGACTTTCGAAAGCAACCCGAAAGGCTACTTCAAGGATCTCCATGGTAAGAAATGAATATGTATGCAGGCTGCAGAATTAATATTTCCGACTTTGTATTATATAAGACTAAATAAGAATATGTTGCATGTGATAGATATGTCACGTACTTAAGTGTTATGGATCGGTATAACAGTAACCGCTATTTTACTTTTGTTTAATGTTCTAATATTCATCGGCCCATTTCTCTTCATCAAGAAGAACTCTATACACACGATATTATGTATATTATGTATATTATGTATAGTGTGTTCTCATGTTGCAATCAATTTACTCTTTAGTTATTTATAGAGACTTGACTATATTCAACAATATTGAAAATCATTCTATCAGAGATTGTATATCTCTGGTTTATTTGGTTTATATTGGTTATTGTATTTGGTTTAGTTACACTCTCACTATATAAGAGAGCTTTATTGTAACAATCAGATTAAGGAGAATAACAAACTTTTACGACTTATCTTCTTCGTTCTCCTTCACCTTCTCCAACACTAACATGGTATCAGAGCAGTGAGAATCAAAAATCCCACTCGATTCTGCTTCATTCTTCCGTTCTTTGACCTTGATTTCTCGTCGATCGTTGATTTTGTCTTGCTCTCAGTTATTCCGCCGTATTGAGCTCGATTTTGTATGAGATTGTTGGCAGTTCAGCCTTATTCCAGATTGTTTCTCCTGATTGATTCGATTTCAATCATTTTCTTCGGTTATTTTGCCGAATTGTGCTTGGATTTTTCCAAGTTTCAGCTCATGATTGCTCCGCCGATCTGTTCGGAATTCTTTCATTCGTGAAGGTATATCTTCGACTTTAATCAGCTCCTTTGTTGAGTTTGTTTTCCTGAAATTCAGTCGATCCAAGTGTTGCTTCGATTCATCACGGTGTGTTTGATATCGTTTGATCTGTGATTGCTTCTGTGATGGATTTCTATTCGTTGTATCCTGGCCTTTTTGAGCGTATTGCTTCACCGAGAGAGATTGTTGTCGATGCCAATCTATTTGGATAAAATCCATGGTTGAAATTGATGACAGATTTGGATTTTCTATACGGATCTCTTCCACGGCCACCGGATTTACGATCTACTGTGGCGTGTATGTGGTTTCTAAATTCTTTCTCTAAGCATATAACTTCTGGATATCTTTCTGTTGATGATGATGTTGCGATATGGAGATTATCGGAATGTAGATGTGTTGCTAGAGAAATGGAAATTTGGTTAGAAAGCTTTCAACAAAATCTAGAATATGGAATTGATGACGGATGGTTAGTACTGTTGCTACAACATTTAGTCTTCACATTCAGAACATATGTGCAGCTGGTTTTAAGAGAATGCAACAAGGATTGCTTGATTCTCCTTTGTGACCTCTGCAAGTTCACAAAATTCAGATTCTTTGTTGAGTCATCTACTGTATACTGTGGTGTTGTTCATGCACTCTGTATAGATTCGGCAGATGGCTTTCAAGATCAAGATTTTTCTAGACAGGGGGAGAATCTTAAGTTTGCTATTGATATAAGCAACTTAGACCTCTGTGAAGCTAATTACTATGGCTTTCTTTACTTGGATTCGCTGGTTTGTGACATCGATGTGAAGATATTCATGAACTTTGGAGGATTGCAAGTGATAGATCCTCTTGATGATGATTCATTTGATGGCCTTTCTGCCACTCTAATTGCTGCTCTAGTTCAGCATTCAAGCCTCTTTGTCAAGTCAGAAGCTTGCCGTTTTGAGGCGTTATTGATCTTGGTTATTGAGAGATTACTTCAGTTTCACTCTTGTGTTGAAGCACATTTGAGGCGAATGGAACAGGGGTCTTCATTAATAGAACAGAGGTCTTCATTAATTGAGAGATTACTTCCGTTTCACTCTTGTGTTGAAGCACAGATGAGGCGAATGGAATGGAGTTCTCCAGTACTTGAGATTTTATTTCAGTTTCAATCATATGTTTCAGCACATATGAGACAAATGGAACAATTATCTCCATTCACTGTTGGTATGGAGGTTATGATACTATCATGTTTGAAGAAGATGAATGGTCTTACCTCAAAATGGTCAGATCTACATGTCATATTTGGATCACAAAGTTGTGTTTCAAGACAGAGGGAGATCTGGCCTGGATTGGCTACTTTGATTCATGAAGTTGATTGTGTTTTTGCTGGAAAGGGATTATGCTTTGAATAAAAGATGTCTCTCTGGTTGAAGTGCTTTCTCTTCGTTATGCTTGGATGTAGCAGTACAAATATTCACCGTGAGTTGGTGTTTGCCTTGTGTGCAACACTTGAGTTGCTGGTGACAGAGTCTGCTACAGCCGCATCTAAGGTTTTTATACAAAGACAGAATTGTTTTGTGATTTTTTTAAATTTATGGTTGTGGCTATTTCTAGTCAATTTTGCACATGGATTGAAATCCTCTATGGCTCATCACCGAGACCACCAGAAGTGCAGTGTGACTTCAGTTCCAAGCCCCTCCAATTTCCATGGAATTCTCAAGTCCAAGATGAAAGTCCCTTCCATCTTGAGGGGGAGTATCAGAGATTGTATATCTCTGGTTTATTTTGGTTTATATTGGTTATTGTATTTGGTTTAGTTACACTCTCACTATATAAGAGAGCTTTATTGTAACAATTAAGGAGAATAACAAACTTTTACGACTTATCTTCTTCGTTCTCCTTCACCTTCTCCAACACTATTTACTATTGGTTTAGTGTGTTCTCATGTTTCAATCAATTTACTCTTTAGTTATTTATAAAGACTTGACTATATTCAATAATATTGAAAATCATTCGTTTATCAAACGTGGATATTGGTTATCAAAGGAAACCTAAAGAGTCAGGAAAAAAGAATACAAAAAAGAGAATCCGTATCTTAAGTGAGAAGAAGAAAATTCATATCTTAAGCCAGAAGATAACTCTGAACATAGTATAAAATTCATTCATTTTGGAAATAATAATTGAACAAATGCTTTAAACTGTTTGATCCCCCTTTAGTTATTTAAAGAGACTACTATATTCCACAATGCCCACTGATATTATATTTGATTAGTTATAGTCTTTATTACCCCGAAGGGCCAAGGTAGACTAATTAAATAATGTTACTTGTTAGCATCACATTTGCCACTCTATATAACTCAGTCATGAATCCCCTCTTTCAACTCAACAAATCAAAACACACAAGAATAAAATAAAAGTAGAATAAGTTTAAAGATTAGTGATCATATCAATATGAACAGAAAGGAAAACAAAGATGAGAATTCGACATTTTACGACACCGCAGCAAAAGTCATAGTCGTGGTTGGAGCCATTGGAGCCGCCGTGAGTCTACTCTCGTGGATGAGCTCCGAATCGGAAGAGAGCAATTCGAAAGAGAAGATGATGAAGGCTCCTGGTGGGAATGGGAAGATGATTCGTAGGGCGTCTTTCGAAGACAACCCGGGAGGCCACTTCAGAGACCAGAGGCAGCGCAATAAGAAATGATATAAATATGAGAACCATGTTGAAATTCTTTTTAAAAATTTCGACTTTGTATTTCCATAACTAAGTTATAAAACTTTGCTTATGACAGATATATGTTACCATGTTATATATATATGGATCGGTGTAATGTTGCTTTTTTAATGTACTCGTGTTTAATGTTAATATATATGTCTATATGGATTGGAATGATAGTGCTATTTTAATTTACTCGTGTTTAATAATGTTGTAATAACCGGGAGCCAGTAAAGAATATGGACTGAGCCGAGTTATTTATTTTGTTAAGATATATGGTTGTAAATTTTCGTTATTCTTTTTTCAATTTAAATTACAAAACAAGCAGCAGTCCAATGAAAATTTAGCATAAAATTGTTGGAAAATAACCAAT